TATATACAGATTCAAAAAAGAAGAACAAGAATTTGAAGAACAAACTGAAGTCATAGAGGTTTTCTGAAAATTTGAAGATGTTATGTTTTCTTATCTCCTTTTTGTTTAATATTTACTTTGTTATAAAATGTAATAGTTGAATTATGATTTGAAATTTGATAATGTTATGTTATCTTATATCCTCTATGTTTAATATTTTCTGTACTTTGTTATGAAATTTGATAATGACCATTTCTTACGAGTAATTCCATCGCAATAATTTTCAGTTAAATTAATATGTTTTATATATTTTGAAGTTTAAGCTGATAGGTTAAGTTAATAGTTTAAGTTGAATGTTTAAGTTGATCTAACATCCAGTCTTTTTCCAAATAAATTTCAAATCAATTGTGATGCGAGTGCTTGATCCAACATCAAGTATCTCATCCGCTTCACTCAAATCATTTCTAAAACACTCGATCCAACGTCGAGTTGTCTTTTCAAAAACCATTTTTACAATAAATTGGAATGAAGAAGAAGGTGTGAAGTCAACTACTATGTGCATATATCAAAAGATGAGAAAAAGCATCATGAAGCAATATGGATATGGATCAAGATTGTAACATTATGAAGACTTGCATTGATCTTAATTTATTGAGGCATAAGCATGCAATATATATTGATAAAGTAGTATTCAAAATAATCTCCAAAATTTACTTGCATGCATGGTTCATTTGGTTAAAAATATCTCACCATTTCTAACTTTAAAATAAATAAATAAAATTATCATGCATTTGAAAATTTATTTTTCATGTTTGAGCCATGCTAAATCACTTTCAAATATAATCTACTTACTTGAATAAATCAATAGCTATTGCATAAGGTTGGTTCAAATACTTAGATAAATTTTTAATTATTCTAATTTTTCAAATATTCTGTTTTTGGTAAATTATGTTTGTTTGACCAGTCGTAACAACACTTAAAACCACCCTAATTTGCACCGGTCTGAAGCAATATTTTAATTTTGAATTCTGGGTGCAGCGCTTCGCAGGAAATCGATTTCCTGAGTCGACAGAGCCATTTTTGCTATTTTAAAAGTCTAAACATTTAACAATTACCACCTTTTAAAAGTTGCATTGTTTCAATAATTTACACACTTTCAAAAAAAAAGGTGTTAAGGCACTATATAAACTAGGGTGTTCATATTTTATGAACTACAATGAATCAAATCATATTTATAATATTTATAGTTTGATTCACTTTGTAGTAACCACTTTAATAAAAATTCAATTAATTGGTAAAATGATTACAATTCAATTTAAAATTAGTTTAGAACCAATTTATATTTACAAACTAATTTAAAATTAATTTATAATTTTAAACTAATTTTATATTTTGAACTTATAAAATCAAACTTTTAATGAATTTATATTAAAAAACTATATTTTCAAAAATATTTATTTCAAAAAAATAATTTTATTTTTTTCAGAAATTATTTTTATTTTATGGAAAAAAAATTATTTTCAGATTTTTTTTTTAAAAAAATTATAATTGTGTTCCCTAGGATTTGATTTTTATTTTCAAAGTTTTACTTTTTGAAATTTTCTACTTGAGCAAATGAAAATTTTGAAAATCTCATAAGATTAATACATTTTGATTAATTTTCAAAAACTAATACATCCTGATTATTTTGAATATATGTGTGAGAAGAAATTATATATTTTATATAGTTTCATTAGAAAAAAGCATAAATCACATTTAAGGAAATGAATCTAAGTTTTTTTCTTTTAAAAGAAAAAATATTTAGATACAATTTCATATGTGTAATTCATATTTTTCTCTAATAAAAATGTGATAAATATATCTGAATATTTTTTAAAGAGTAAATATTAGAAAGAAATTACATATGTAAGAGAAAATTATACACTTATCATATTTTCATTAGGAAAAAAATATAAATCACATAAGAAAGTACACCTAACTTTTGTTTTCTTTTGAAAAAAAGAATTGTCTCAAAAAAACTTTTTCTTATTGTATATCTAAAAATAATGCTATATTTATAAAATATTAGTAAAATTGTTTTAAAATAACTTATCTATTTATTATTAATTGTGTTTAATTTTAACATTTAGTTAATATTATTTGCTTCAAAATTAAGCACTGTCTTTTTGTACTGCAACTAGCTGCTACTCCATTAAATATCAATAACATTAATAACATTGTAATAATAATACCATCACTTTATCAAGAGTTTTTTTTAATGCCAAAAATATTTGAAAAATAAAGATAAACTAAAATAACAAAAACTATTTACGTTGTTTGACTGTAATATAACTTTAAACTGACCATGAATTTTTTTTTTATTTCTAAAAAATGCTTCTTTTTTTCTTAATTTAAAATTATAAAAAAATTATTTTTATTTTTAGAATTTTTTTACTCTAAAATAATTTTTTTATTCTTTTTATGAAAAACTAATTTATATAATTATATAATTAAACTAGTTTATAAAAGGAAAATGATTTTGAATTTGTTTTAAATTGAATTTAAATTGTTTAAATTAAATGATTCAATTCATTAACCGTTTAAATGGTTCAGTTTTTTTATGGTACAATGCAGTTCAATTTTAGTATACAATTCAATTAACTATATTTTTGAACACCCCTAATATAAACTATATATTTTCAGATTTGAAAACCTCACCTCTTCAATAGCAATTTAACATCATTTTATCATTCAAGTTTCAAAATAGGTGTTTGTGTTGTTGGACTTTCACAAGAAATTTATCTGCATGTATTTCCATATCAATTCAGAAAAATTCATATAATATTTACAAACATTTGAGCGCTATATTCTATTATTATAAGTTGCTTGCTTGAAAGGAAGATCAATTATATTGATACATCACTCAAAGTGATAATTGTTCTACAAATTTCACACTCTTGAAAATATTGTTGTATTCATATCTTATTGTTGTATCCAAATTTTTGTCCCTAAGATTCCTCTATCATCTCATACCATCACAATACCACAAGATCACACATTAGGGTTTTTGGTACTTCTCCTACTTCATCCTATCTTTAGGTTTGTTCATGAGGGATCACCAAGCATCTTGAATTGTGTATCTTGCTCATATATCCTTTTGACTAACATCAAAATATGTATATATGTCTCTTTGAATGCCATCTTGTAGGAAATGACACAATTGCATGTTTCTTACCATCTTCTAGCACAGAGGATCAAAACTAGGGTTTGGAATTTAATCAAGAAATCTCTGACTTTTTGGGCAATACTTGATTCTATGTTTCTCTACATGTTCATGAGCATCTATGATTGGAAATTTGATCATCAGTTTCATCATCTTCCATCTTGAATGCTTTATGCTTTTAAATCAAGACAAGCGCCTTGGTCTCTTTAACTTGGGCACTTCCTTCGTGATTCATTCTCAAAGACTCAAATATAGACTTTGCAATGCCTCTATTTGTTATCTTTTCATACTTAATATAAGAAATAACATTAAGCATAATAGTTCTTGCTTTGTGATGATTGTTGTAGTCTTTCTTCTGTTGGTCATTCACCATTCTTCTTTCTATCTTGGCTCCACTAGCAACAACAGTATGTTTGTAGCCATCGACTACCATATCCCAAAGATTAACATCGTTACCAAGAAATATATTTTCTATTCTATCTTTCCAGTAATCAATCTTTCTCAATCAAAGACTGGAGGTTTGGAGTTATAGTGATCTCTTTCATTTGTTGCAGATGTAACTGGTGGTAGAACGTTTACCACCATAGTGTTTCACAAAAAAAAACTTTATCTTTATCTGAAACGGTTAAGTGTTTGTTAACAATCAATACCATAAGTGGTGCTCTGATAGAATTGAACGTACGAGAAATACAAGAAAGCGGGGTTTTGAATTCATTTGAATTTGAAAACATTTTGACTACCCAAACAAACAAGTCAATTTGTTGATCTTATGGGTGTAATCATCTTTTGTAAATAAAAAGTCAATTTTGTTGATCCTATATCGAATACGCAACGCACCGAATTGAAAAAAAAACGTGAAAATTGCCCTAGAAATGCACTTAGGCACCATCTCACTTGGCTTAAGGCAAACTCTAAGCACCTAGGCGCCAAGTGAGATGGCGCCTCCCCTTAAATAATAGGTGTAGGCGTCAAGTGAGATGACTCCTCCTTTGGGGAGTCATCTGAAACATGGTTATTTACGTAATTTTTTCCGAAACATGGTTATTTGCGGGAAAAAAATTTATATCTGATTATTGCAAAAAAAAAATCCTAAAATTAAACTGAAATATTTTAATAAATATAATAATTTTTAAAATATTGTAATTTATATAACTTCCTCTTCCCTCCAAATCTTATCGATTTAAAAGAATGTAAAAAATATATTTCAGAGAGATTTTGCTCTCCTCCAATTCTATTTTCTCTCACATAAAATTTAAACTAATTAAATTTAATTAAAAAATTTCCCTCTTCTTTCATCTCCTCCATTTACCTCAAACCAAATATTCTATAAAAGAAAAAGTACAAATATTGAAATTGCTATCTACACTGATACATATCTAGCTACTATTATTTTTCCAAATTGTAGGTATGAAGAATACTGTAGTACTCTATAAATTCTGCTCATTATCCATCCTACGCATTCGTTTGGCACATACTTTTACCCATTATGTTCCTTGTAGTGATTTATGTGTCCTCTTGATTTTATTGTGAATTTTCTTCATAATAGTACAAGATAACATGATTTGAATAAAACATTTATAAGATTTAATCCATCTCAACAAAATTTTATCCATTTCCTTAATATAGTAAAATAATATTCAAACAACACGTAAAAAAGAACATTATAGAGTACGTTGCGTATATACGAATACGGGAAATCAATAAACTATTATATTTCGTGTTCTAAAAGACATTTAATTTTTCACTTTGATTCTTTATAAAAGTCAATTTAAAAATAGTTGAGATCATACCAAATGTTGAGTTCTCACTTCTAATCAACCTACTTATGCAAGTTTTTGTGAGTAGTAATTTCACACTCATCACAATCAAGAAGATCCTCCAACAATTTATCATCCAAACACTCAAACTCAATAATTTCTTTTCCATGTTCGGATCGATAACTTGATTCAGTGCAAGAAGATGAAGATAAATTGGGTGCTAGTATTGACGTCGAAGAGTTCATTGAAGGATACTCATGTGGAAAATTAAGAATGGCTAAAGCACCTCTCATTTCAAACGCGGCGCGGTCATAAGCTCTCGCGGCTTCCTCGGCCGTGAGAAATGTACCTAGCCACACCCGCGTACCTCGACGAGCTGGATCACGAATCTCGGCAGCATACTTTCCCCACGGACGCCGCCTCACTCCTCGGTATCGAATTTCTTTTGCCGACTCTTGTTTGCCCGTCTCTTCCTTTGAATTTTCCCCTTCCATTAAGTATTTTGTAGCTTATTACTATAGTGTAATTTATTAACTACGTTATAGCTACATTTTGCAATTTATATATGCTTGCTATACCAAATTACCATGTGTCAAGTTCTCGACATAGATTCAATGGATGGAGAATTTCATTTAACAATTTGCTGAGATCCCTTGATGGAGATTGTTTTTGAGATGAGTTCAAAGTATGTGGATCACAAAGTTTAATTTGGTGATGGCTATAATTGCATGCGTAGGGTCATGAACACAAGATCTTATGTTTGGAATTATTCTTAAATCATGTCACTACATAGGTATCTTAGTTCTCAATTCCAGATACAAGGTATATAAGGTTAAAACTAAGATTTGATTCTGCCACTTGTTACCATAATTGATGATTCAACTATCTCAAAATCAATTTCACAGTTATAATTTTATACTATTGTTTTTTAATTAACTGATTATATTGTCGTAAAGTGGGTGGTTTAGATTTGCTTGAATCAGTTTAGTCAAAAAATTAAAGAAAAAAGAGATTTGTCTTAAAAAGGCAGGTAGCTTTCATTCACCACCTGAAACATTGAACTCTCAGTGGCGGTAACATCATGTCTTACATCACGGTTTTTGGTTTTAAATTTTATTTATTTCCATTATATTTTCTATTAATCTAATAATAGTCAACATATACTCAAATAAATATGTATTGATAAAAAAAATACAGAATTAAATATATTAGTCTAAATATCTCATAATTTAATTTAATTTTTTCAATTTTTTTTCAAACGTTAATTCTCTTAATATTTTTCGTTAAACATTTTTGGTAAATCCAATTAATTTCATCTATCAGAAGCTAGCGTAAAACGATAATTGACAAAATTCTAACACTCTAGAAAATAAAAAGACGACCATATTAGATTTTGTTGGATTAAATTATTTTGCAGCATGAAGTTCAAATATTATTAAGTATTTGTTTCATTTTAAAATATATATTAAAATGTCTTTAAATTTCATCTTCCCCAAATCGTATTTTACCCTAACTCACTCTCTCTTTTTCAAATTTTAGGCAACTTGCTCGCATACTTCAAACAAGGCAAATCACATATTCGTTTAATTTCAGCCCAACCTTTCATTGTTCCCTGATATTTTTAATAAATAATTACGAGTTTGATTCACTTAAGAGATTAAATTTGAAATTTTGGATATTTTATGCAAAAAGTAAAAAGGAAAGTGTTTGTGATTGGAATTTAAATGTTAGAATAATGACAAAGTGGACATGAACTTGAATTAAAATAAGCTTTGGATGAAGATAATAAACATCAATTGTGATAAATATCATTAAAATAAATGCTTCAATTAATGTCATTAAAATAAATATTTCAATTACAAAAGACTTAAATAAAATAAAAGAGACGACGCAGATCCATACATTTTCTTTAAAACAAAATTAAATATACAAGGGATAAATATCTTATAATTCAATTTTAGTCTCTCAATATTTTTTCTTTAAACAATGATTTTCCTAATGTTTTCCGTTAACATTTTTGATCTCTCATGTTAACTTCATCTAGCTGAAGTTGATGTGGAGGGATAACTGACAAAATCAATGTAACTTCATCTGACAGATAAATAGATGGCCAAGTTGAATTTTATTAAATTAAATCATTTTGTATCATGAAATTCGAATATTAATGAGTATTTGTTTTATTTTTGGAATATATATTCAAATGTCTTTAAAGGTAATCTTCCCCAAATTGTGTTTTATCCTAACTCACTCTCTCTTTTCCAAAATTTCTACAACTTGCCGCATACTTCAAACTAGGTGAACCACATCTTCGTTTAATCTCAGCCAAACGTCTTGTTGGACATGTGACTGCATACATAAGAGAGGGGGGAGGGGAAAAGTAATTTGTGGATGATTAAAAAACTTTGGTTTAAAACAAAATCATTTGTAAAATCAAAGTTTGAAATTTTTCTGAATAAATACGCAGCAGAAAATCAAAGGAAAGAAAACTACTGAAAAGTGAAAATTAAAAGATATAAGGGAAGATAAGAACACCATATAATTATACAATTTTATCCTTAAGGTGATTTACTCTTGTCTCCAAGAATTTTTCTTGAGAGTATCTGTAACACAGTGGGAGAACTGACTTGGGTGTTTTGCGTTTTATCGCAAGTGTTGCAGATAGCAAGAGTCACCACCGACTTTTCTTTTATCCAATAAGGAAAGGTTGAAAAGAACAGGAAAGATCTTTCGAGATTATTTCTTGAGTTCGGGTGGTAGATTATGAAAAGGGAAGGTGTTAGTATCATTTTCATCCATAGTTATTTATAGGCTCTTAGTTGCTTGCTAGATCACTTGCTTTTGTTTGAAAATGTGCTTGTGGTGTGGGTTTTGAAAGTATTTTGAAAATGTCTTTGTAATGGTTTTCGTTTCTATAAGAACGCATACAAAGTGTTGTTTAGAAAATAGTTCAAAGAAGTGTTTGTAGAATATGTTTTTGAAAGTGATTTTGAAAAGGTGTCTTTGTAATGGTTCTCGTTTCTATAAGAACGCGTACAAAGTATTTTGTCTTTTGAAAATGCTTCAAGTGAAAGCGTGGGTGTGGACTGGATCAGCAACAATTTAGAGTGTTGTGGCAGCTGGATGCAGGATTGTGCCATAGCAGTGCAGCAGACTGTTCAAAACGAGGTTTTGAGGCTCGGTGATGTTCTGATCGAAGAATGGAAAGACCAGAGTAAGATTCGAAGGGTGATGTTCTGATCGAAGAATAGAACATAGTCTCCATGTGCTGAAGAACGAGATTTGAAGAGTCGTGTTATGATCGAAGAACACAACTCCCATATGTTCTGATCGAAGAGTCATGTTCTGAATCTTTTTTTTTAATTCTGATTGCACTTGCGTGAATTCTGGCCCAGAAGTTCTGAAATTGTCATATTTCCTTAACACTTAGAAAATTTTCCATATGTTTAGAAATTTGATTTTTTCAAAGTAATTTCTGACTTTTGATTTCTTGATGGACCAATTTCCTGTCCTAATGAAATATGATTGTTGAAACTTGACTTTGACCAAAAAGTCAAAGTTTGACTTTTTAGTGTGCTTTTGACCATTTTGCCCTTGTGAATGACTTTGTTGGGAAATTGTCATCCGAGACTGGAAATTTGACAGAAGCAAACTTGAGGGTCCAGGATGATCCTTTGAGAAATGAGACGGAAAATTTTGGGGTACAACAGTTATCCCTGTTCAATCTTCTTAAACCTGAAGGGTTAGATTGGCGAATCTGCCATTCGTGACTTGAAGGTGGAAGATGATTGAACACTAGAGTGTCCAGAAATTTGCACTCTGATGATTTTGAGGTTGAGGTGTAAGGAATGGGCTTAAAGATGCCATTTTGAGAAATGATAGAGAGTTGACGGAGATGGGCTTATAGATGTCATCCGAAGATGATTGTTGACAGAAATTAGACTGAGTCTAAGCTTGACTTCAACTGGGAAAAGAATCAGAATAAACCTTTGGTCGATTTAAAACTGAACCTAGCAGAAGTCTTGTATAATCTTTAACCTGAAAGAATCAGGACAAATCTTTGGAGCGATTTATCTGAACCAGGGAAAGCGTCTATTGGGAAAGCAATCAGGATAAACCGTTGAGAGATTTAAACTGAAACAACAGAGGTCTGGAAAAGAATCAGAATAAATCTTGGAGCGACTTATCTAAACCAGAGAAAGTGTCTACTGGGGAAAGAATCAGGATAAACCATTGAGAGATTTAAACTGAACCAACAGAGGTATTGAATGTTCTTTAACTGGAACAAATCAGAATAAATCTTGGAGCGATTTATCTGAACCAGAGAAAGTGTCTACGGGAAAGAATCAGGATAAATCATTGAGAGATTTAAACTGGACCAGCAGGGGTCTAGAAAAGAATCAGAATAAATCTTGGAGCGATTTATCTGAACCAGAGAAGATGCATGCGGGAAAGTATCATGATAAACCATTGAGAGATTTAAACTGAACCAGTAGAGGTCTTGAATATTGTTTAACTGGAAAGAATCAGAATAAACCTTGGAGCGATTTATCTGAACCAAAGAAAATGTCTACGGGAAAGAATCAGGATAAACCATTGAGAGATTTAAGCTGAACCAGTAGAGGTCTTGAATATTCTTTAATTGTAAAGAATCAGAATAAATCTTGGAGTGATTTATTTGAATCAGAGAAAATGTCTATGGGAAAGAATCAGGATAAACCATTGAGAGATTTAAACTGAACCAGTAGAGGTTTTGAATATTCTTTAACTGGAAAGAATCAAAATAAATCTTGGAGCGATTTATCTGAACCAGAGAAAATTTCCATGGGAAAGTATCAGGATAAACCATTGAGAGATTTAAACTGAACTAGTAGAGGTCTTGAATATTCTTTAACTGGATAGAATCAGAATAAATCTTGGAGCGATTTATCTGAACCAGAGAAAATGTCTGCGGGTAAGAATCGGGATAAACCATTGAGAGATTTAAATTGAACCAGCAGAAGTCTGAAGGAAGTATTTGTCATGTAGATAGTCACCTAGTCTTGTCTCAGGAATTGATCTACAATCGATTTGTTCACGGATATTTATTCTGTCTAGTTTCAGGTATTAAGCTTGATGATGATATATGATGAAGGAATCATGGACGATTACTACTCCAAAAGATAATGAAGGAACCTTGGACGATTACTACCTCAACAAATGATGAAGGAATCTTGGATGATTGCCACCTCAGCAGATAATGAAGGAATCTTGGACGATTACTACCTCAATAAATTATGAAGGAATCTTGGATTATTGCTACCTTAGAATATGATGAAGGAATCTTGGATGATTACTACCTCAGCGGATAATGAAGCAATCTTGGATGATTACTACCTCAACAGATGATGAAGGGATCTGAGATGATTACTACCTTAAAAGATAATGAAGGAATCTTGGACGATTACTACCTTAGCAGATGATGAAGGAATCTTGGACGATTACTACCTCAGCGGAT